GCCGCGCTGGCTCCGGTTGAGCTTGATGATATCGTCCAGGGACATGTCCATCTTGTCGGCCATGATGGCGGCTCCGCTCCGGGGCCTGCGCTTCCGGCCGCGCTGCGCCCACGCCGGAAGCGGAAGGGGCGGGCCTGGCGGCCAGGGCGCGGCAGCGCGCGCGCGGGGCCCCGCGAAGCGCGGGAGGCGCGGGGGGCGCGGCAGGGGGCGGGACTTCCGGGGAAGGGGGCGGGGCGGCGGCGGTCGGCGGCCATGCGCGTGCGGATCCGCGGCTGGAACGGGGTGGCCTCGTGGCTCTGGGTGGCGAACGACGAGAACTGCGGCATCTGCCGCATGGCCTTCAACGGCTGCTGCCCCGACTGTGAGTGCGCGGCAAGGCGCGGCAAGGCGCGGGCGCAGCGTGCCGTGACGTGTGCAGCCTCACGTGACGTAACCCGACGTGACGTGCGCAGCGTCACGTGCCACAACATGGCGTGACGTAGCGCGATGTAACGTACCGTGCTGTGCCGTGCTGTGCCGTGATGCAGCGCACTGTGCCGTGCCGTGCACTGCGTGACGTGCCGTGCCGTGCTGCAGCATGACGCGCCGTAACGTGCGCAGCCTGCAGCGCCACGCAGCATGCAGCGCCATGCAGCGCCATGCAGCGCGCTGTGCCGTGCCGCGCCGTGCACCGCGTGACGTGCCGTGCTGCAGCATGACGCATCGTGATGTGCGCAGCCTGCAGCGCCATGCAGCATGCAGCGCCATGCAGCGCCATGCAGCGCCATGCAGCGTGCTGTGCCGTGCAGTGACACGGTGTCCCCCCCCCAGGCAAGGTGCCCGGCGACGACTGCCCGCTGGTGTGGGGGCAGTGCTCGCACTGCTTCCACATGCACTGCATCCTCAAGTGGCTGCACGCGCAGCAGGTGCAGCAGCACTGCCCCATGTGCCGCCAGGAGTGGAAGTTCCGCGAGTGACGGCGGTTCCGCGACACCGGGCGGCAGTGCCCGCAGCGCAGCGCCCGCCCGGCCCCCGCGCGCCGCCCTGGCTGCCGCCGGCTCCGCGAGCGGCACCGGCACCGCACACGGCACCAAAACCCTGTCACTGGGTACCAGAGCTTCTGTGAGTGACACCGGCACCGCCAACACCAACCCGCCGCCACAACGGTACCGGCACCGCTGCGCCGGGCTGCCCGGGCCCCGGTGCAGAGCGTGGTGCAGCCGGGGCCGCCCCGTGTGGCCAGTGCTCCGCTGCGCGAGCTGGCCCGGCCGGCCCCGCCATGGGCCCGGTTCCGCTGCTCCCGGTTCCGCCAGTCCTGTCACCCGGCCGCTCTCGGCTCTGTGTGCCCGGGCGGGCAGCCCTGGGCCCTGCTCCCAGTAACTCCGGCCGTGGTCGCGTGTGCCGGTGCTTCGGGGCTCGGGATGCAGGAAGAGCTGCCAGCCCCTGGGGATGGGGTCTGGGGGGGGCACAACCGGCGCCAGGCTGGGACCCAGGGCCAGGAGCTGCTCCCACCCCGCGCAGCCGGCGGGGGCGGGCGCCCGACACCCTGACAATGGGATGAGCCGCTGCTTCCCGGGAATGCCGCCCCAGGAGGCGGCTCCGCGGCGCGGGGGGGCACAGCGCCTCCCCACCTGTCTATAAAGGTGGCGCCGGCGCGGCCGCAGCAGCCGCTGCAGCACCATGAACGCCGCCCGCTGCCTGGTGCTGGCGCTGGCCCTCGCGCTGCTCTGCCGCCCCGCGGCCCCGTGGTACCGCCAGGCGGCCAGGCCCACCTACTACTCGGTGGGCAGAGCCTCGGGGCTGCTCTCCAGCCTCCGCCGCTCGCCCTACACCCGCCGCTCCGGCACAGACAGCACCGCCGAGCGCGGCCCCAGCGCGCGGCCGCTCGCCGCGGTGAGTACCGGAGAGGAGCTGCCAGTGCCGCGTCCCGCACGGCTTGTCCCCGCGAGCGCCGGGACAGCAGCCGGGCCTGGGGACTCCGCGGGGTTCTGTGTCCATGGGAGCTGCAGGAATGACGTCTGCTCACGGGGGCTCCGGGGCTTCCCCCAGCCTGGGAGGCTCCGGGATGCGGTGGGGCCGGGACGCGCAGCTCCTGTGCAGGGTCTCAGGGCAGGGACCGGGAGCACCACACAGTCCCAGGGGACTAGCCGGGACCCAGCCGTGCTGCCAGGGCCAGGACCGGCACCCCTATCGCTGGGGGCTCCCTGCGTCCTGCCCTGTGGGGCCGTTGGTGCCGGGGCCGTTGGTGCCGGTGCTGACGCCGTGTCCCGCAGGTGCCGTGTGTGACGGATGTGTCCCCTGAGCTGCATGGCTGCCAGCTGCTGCCCGGCGCACCGGGCTCCCTGCAGTGCAAGGCCAACGTGACCATGTCCCTGGACCCCCAAGAGTGCACGGGGGCGTGACTGGCACCGACCCATCCTGGCAGCGCCGCCGCATCAACAATAAACACGTTTGGGCTGGATCCGTGTGCTGTGTCCTTGGGGCCAGGGGGCACAGCTGGGGGCAGGACCCTGCGGAGCTGCCCCGGCCGCCGCTCCCGCTTACCGGGAGCTTCGTCAGCCCTGTGCAGCGGGGACGGGGACGGAGCCGACGGGAGCCTGGGGGCTGTGGGAGCTGCGCGGAGGCCGTGGGTGGGAGGGCGCAGGGGCCAGCGGCTCCTGCCTAGCGGGGACGGGGGCAGTGAGAGGCTCTCAGTCCCTGGGGTGGAGGGGCCCGACCTGCGTGTCCCAGCTCCAAGCAGGGGCCGCTGCAGCCGTAGCTTCTTGTCCACAGAGCAGCCAAGCCGCTCGCAGGGCCCCTGCCCGGGACAGGAGGGGCACCAGGCAAGGGCACCCGGCCGGGAGCTGGCGGGGACAGCAGATGACAGAGCGGCCAGGTGCCCATGGGGTCCCCACGGTGTCCCCCAGCACACAGACAGGTCCCCGAGGGCAGGCGGCGGCCAAGGGACAGGGTGGCAGGAGAACCTGTCCCTACGCCACACTCCAGACCCGGCCCTGGGTGGGAAATCCCACAGGGAGCCAGTTTGGGGCCCAGCCTAAGGTCCTGTGCAGGGGGTCTTGGGCAGGGGGGGGCCACGGCCACGCTGCTTTAGCAGCCCTGGACTGGTGGGGGGGGGGCAGCGTTAGCCCTGGCCCCTGTCCCTCGGCTGCTACCTGCCCGTGGGGACCTTCCCTGCACCTGGGACACCCTGTTCCCTGGGACACCCTGTTCCAGGTCCCCTGGCCGACTGAGCCCCCACGGCCCCTCCACAAGCCCCAGTCTCAGCCCCTTGCAGCCCCAGACCGGCTCATCTGGTCCCCAGCAGCCCCAGATCCAGGTGCTGATTCCCGGGCAAGGGATACAGGGCCCAAGGCAGACACGGTCCCACCGTGCCCCACGGGGCCCCACGTTCTCAGTCTTGCCCCCAGAGAGGCCCTGTTGCGCGGCCTGACACGCAGGGAGCCCCGGGGACACGGCAGCGCCCAGCGCAGCTCCTGGCCCCCATCCCAGCAAGGGCAGCGCAAGGGAAGTCGCTATGCACCCATTCAGGAGCCAGAGCCCAGAACAGTTGCAGGAAAGATAGAAAACAACACACAAAACTAACTCAAACTCGAAATTCACAAACTTTTCTGCTACTTTCCCCTGCTAATTTTTGCCCTTGGCGACACAGAGGCTGTCAGTGAATGCAAGCATAGAAGAAGGGCCCAGAGGCGCACGGGGTGAGCAATACCAAATGCAAAAATTTCTGCTCAAAAAGGCAATAAGCCCAGAAGGAAGAGCCGCTCCACCAGGCAGAGCTGCTCCCTCTGATCAACTGAAGCTGAAGTTTCCCAGCAAACAAGTGAGCCCAGCAGGCAGACACCCAAGCACTGTGCGAGCAACAATTTAATAGCTCTGTCATTTTTTAATCATAGCTGCACCTGCTGGCGGGCCGGAGGCATCTCCTTTACACAGGAACACTCAGCCTGGGGTGGATTTGTCACTGCGGACGAGTTGCTTTTAATTACAAACTCCTCCGTAGTCTTTCCCTGTGCCACAGCGGGGCTGATCCCGCTCCAGGCCAGGTGAAGCTGCCGAGGGGCCGCGCGGAGCGGCGGCGGGAAGCGGCGGCAGGGCCCCGGCTCCCTCCCCGGCGCTGCCCCAGCCCAGCCGGCAGGACCGGCCTCCAGAGACGGCGGCGGCAGCAGACGCCTCCCAACCTCCTCCGGCCCTGCGGGCTCCGCTGGCTGAAGGGCAGCGGCACCGACCTGCCCTTGGGAGCACAGCGCCCAAGCAGAGCGCAGCAGTGGTGCTAAGGACCAAGCCAACATCCTGGCAGAGCTGAGGCTGCTCTGCCCGAGGGCAGAGATTGTTTTCACACCTCCAGCAACCACTCGGGCTCTCCTAGCTAAAGCTCCTAGGGAAAGGCCTCTTTTGGAAACATTTCCATCCAAAGGCCTGGCAGCTTTCTGCTACCTGGACTCAGGGCCCAAGGAGACCGACACAACTCCTTAACATTTTATTAGTGATCAGCAACAGAAGTGCACAGCAGAGGACAGGAAGAGCCAGCCTGGAGGACAGCACAGCACAGTGCAGGGACAGCCGGACACCTGGCACGATGCCTGGAATGAGAGAGGCAACTTCTCCTGCCCCATGTGCCCAGGGCCCCAACGCTTCCCATGGGGGGACATGCTGCCTTTTGACATTAAGGGAGGTGGATTTCCAGCTCACAAGGTAGCTCTGGTGGCAACACTCAAAAGACACAAGGTGACACAAGACAGAACTCTGAGCATGGGCTACATGGAGAACTGGGTCTCCTGAAGATCTTACAGCAAGAAGACAATTTGTCCCCTTTTCCCTCGCAACATTCCCATTCCTCACACGCAGAAACTCCTCCACGCTGCACCAGGAAGGTGCACTCCCCTTGGCCCCACTCACCCTTTGGCGGACAGCAAGCTGTGCCGATCACAGGGAAACAAACGATGCACCCGTCAGAGCTGGAGAAAACCTTTATCCAGTTAGACCAGGAGTAGCCTTGTCTGGCGTTTGTGCAGACGCGGCAACAGAGAAGAGTCAACACACGAATATTACAGCACAGGACACAGTCAGCATCTCCAGGAGCCGTCACACTGACCCCTAACATCCCTAACCTGCTCATAGGAGGAATTTGGGGCGGCGCATCCTCTTCCCTGGGAAGGTTGTTGTCTCCAGTCTGTAAAGCAGCCCCCAGCATGAACCGATGGGCTGTTTGGAAACACAGACCCCAACCAGGACAGCAGAGCCTGGAACAGGACGGAAGGGGCCCAAGGTGCTGTTCCACTTCCCCTCTACTAAAAGCCAGAAATGTCAGAAGGTAAAAGCACATCAACATGTTAAAACATTAGTTAGAATTAAAACCATTTTCTCTTCTTCAAATCTCCTCTTGGGAAAGGGAACAGGGGCTGATCAATGGAGGGAAAAACTAGGCATCAGGATCCCAACCCATTACATCTGTATAATTAGTGCAAGAGGAGCTAGGACAGATAAGGGTGGATAACACATCCTGTGCATGCCAGCAGCAGCATCCTTGTTTAGGACTCCTGTTGGAAAAGCTCTTTGCTCCTCCAGAGGAGGGTAAGGCTACAGCATTTTGCAACCCAGATATCAGTTCCCTGCTGGCCTAGTGCTTCTCTTCTTCCAGTCTCTTCATAGCCTCCAATACAGCCAGCTCTTTTGCTTCCTTCTTCTGGTTCCTAGCTTCAAATTCCAGCCTGCAAGAATCAGGACACTGCATGAAATCCTCATTCATCCATATCTCTAGGAGACTTTGGCCAGCTGGAAACACAGGGGCAACTGCCATCTCCTATGCAGCTTTGTTCCAAGAACCTCATCATTAATCCCCACAGGCCCCTTCTAGAGCCCGGATCCAGCTAATTCGCATGACTGTTACCATCACTCCAGAAGACTCCCCCACCATACACTGGATCCTGCCCTCTGCAGATGTTGTTGTTACACCGTGCTCAGTTCATCCTGGGATGGGCCATTTAGTGCTGCAATATCAAATTCAATTTTACAACTGGCCTGAGTTGAAGTCACAGAAGGTGAGGGTCTCAGGCCAAAAAGAGCAGAGCTCCAAGTAACGGAATGTTGCATCCCCAGAAATAGAGCAAGGAAATTGTATTGTTAATAGAGAGGGAGGAAAAATAATAAACACATGTAGTGAAGGACATTCTTACAGCAAAGTGTAGCTATTCTTTTTCCCAAGCAGCCTACCCAAAGTTTCCTAACAAAGCTGTGGAAGGAGGAGGACCTGCCACTGATTTCTTCTCTTCTATGACTTTAGGCAACTCTCTTTCTTCCTCTTTGATCCTATTAATAAGTCCTCAGAGAAGTTACAGCAAAGAGCGTGTGACAGAACGGAGAAATGAAAAAAGCCAACCTGTTCTTGATGATTCTTTGCACAATCAAGTCTGTGGTGAGATTGTTGCCACTGTCCACTAGCTGGAAAACACCACGTCTCTTTGGTTCCTGTGAACAAATACAGCAGGCTCAGCTGGGAAAAACATGCAGGACCTCTGGATTTACAGCTCAGTAAAAGAAAGCTGAGCAGAAGTCACAGCAGGTCTTGTGGGCACCCAGCCAGGCACGACACAAAGTGATCTCCTAGGAAGCAGAATAAATCACTGCCAAAAGCAGAGCTTCACATATATGGAAACTGAGCGAGGCTGCCTAGGGCTGGCATAGAGTGAGCATTAGAGGATTTCTCGCTCTGCCACGAAGGCATTAGTAACAGGCAAAACAAAACAGTGACTAATAGAACAGAGCTGTTGTGAATGATTTAGAGGCTCTGCTCCAAGTGTCTACCTCGGGGAAGGATGAAAGAGTCACCTGCCAAGGACTTGCAGGGGTGTCAGAAGTACAAATTCTCAGCTCGGGAACATGACCAAAGCCATGCTGTACCTATCATGAAGAGAGGCAGCGCAGGGAGGAGGCTGGCAGCTCACCTCGTACGGATCAGAACCATCCTTGTCTGGCACCACCTCAGTCATCCCGTGGCACACAAGCGTTACCTGGAAAGGGGCACAAAGTCACTGACATTACCATGTTCCCTCCAAAATAAAGGAACTTTCACCACCACTGTCCTTCACTACAGTGTAGCCTGGAAACGAGCAAAGCTAACCCAATGTACCTGGCTTGGCAATGCTTCCCAAGCTTCCTGAAATCACACAAGATAATCTCTCTTCTACATCTCTGTGTTTTCCTGTCCCACTTCAGCTCCCTTGGCACATCAGTGACCAACATCTTCATGAACATTATCTATACACAGCAACTCTTACCCTGAAGTGATCCAGCAGATCAGCAGTGACAGCGTAGGGGGCTCCAATCACCACTTCTGAGACATACTAGAAGAGAAAACAGGTAAAGTGTCCTGGTTCAGAAAAAAAAAACCCAACCAAAACAACACAGACACAGAATCCAGGCTGTTTCCTAAACAGACTTCAACAACTCCTCTATTATGAATTTGGGAACTCAAAGAAATTGGAAAACAAGTTTATCATCCAGTACTTGGCACACAGTATCTTTTTCTTCCACTAAAAATACACTCTGGTAAAGTCTATACAGCAAATACAAAGATTAATTGCTCAGAGCAAGCAGTTCTGGGGGCTCCCTCCACTTATTTGTCAGGAATTTTCCCCCCTGGGACAAAGGGATGGATACCTTTCTGCAAGAATACAGACATCTTTAGCATAGTGCAGAGCAAACCTCTGCAAAGAATTCTGCCTTTCTGTTGTCAGTGGGAGAGAGATGAAAGGGCTCCACACCTCTGGTCAGCCAGGGCGCCAGATGAGCCCAACAGCTCCTCATAGGAGCACATCAGGACCTCTGGTAGCTAAAGCGACCAGTCTTGACCTTGCCTTTTCCATATACATTAAAGAGCACATGCAAGACTGTTGGCTACTAAATGAGCAACACCAACATCCAGGCACTTCCTACAAGAATGCAGACTTGACAGAGCTGCAGGCACTTACCCTACAGGCTAAGACACTGAGCGTTCTTTCGTGGATGTTCATGATGGGATAGTTCTTCCCTTTGTAACGGTTTACTTCCTAGGGTAAAGCACCAGTCACCATTAGAAGAGACAAAGCAACCCTTTCCACCGCACTTCCTCCCATCCTGCTCTGGCCACCTCATCCCTCTCCTTGGCCTCCTGGGCATGGCACACACAGTTCAGAAAGAGCAGATGCCAAACTGCTCCGTTGGTGAGGTAACGTGGCCATAGGAGTCAATGATTTGGGCAACGTCAGATGCAGACCTGGTCAAAGTGCAGCCCAGCAATGATGTAGGGTCTTTCCGCCAGCTGGTGAACCTTCTCCAGGAAATCCACATGTCCAATATCTGCAGACCTATTTAAGGAACTGGAGCTAACGAGGCAAATAAGGAGGAAGAAGCAGGAAAAAAAATGCCTAAAGAAACCACAGGGGGAGACAGGTAACCCAAGGATTCTAATTTTGTATCACTAGCTGTCTATGCGCTAGGAACAGTTGCTTCCTTCCTCCTCTTGTTCCACAGGTTCTGGGCAAAAGCCAGACATCTTTTCAGCTTCAGCTTACATAGTTTTAGTGCTGCTTTTGTCCAAAAATTCTGCCCATTTCAGGTGCTCTGGCACATAGCCTGTCTGGGGGAGGGAATGTCTGCTCCAAATGCCCTGCACTTTCCAAGCAGCAGTCACTTGATCTGTGACAGCCAGTCCTCAAAATGAACTTACAATATGATCTTAGAATATCCAACCATTTCTTCTATTCTGAAGTCCTCCAACAGCCAGAATCCCCTCTGCAGAGGATCTGTAGCTCTTTCCTCAGCATCCTGTGACGTGCTAGGAGCCATCCAGTAAGGACTCCTGCCTCCTCCCTCATGTACACACTTACAGAAAAAAAGGAGAGGCAAACATCCTAACCTGGTGCCTGGAAGTGTGACAATGTCAGAGAAGCAGCCCCGCACCACCCTCTCGGCAAAACAGTGTCAAGGATATGGAAGAGGTCGAAGGCTCCAGCCACGTAGATGATGGTGTCTCCCGGCTGCGGCTCCTTCCCAGATGCAAACTGGATTATCTTCTGAGATGTCTGGAGGAACTGGGAGACTCCCGTCCAGGGACTGCGGCCTTTTGGGCCCTATGGAAACAAAGAGGCTGCGGGTGGCTGGACAACACGCACACGTCCCCAGAACACAGGTGCGGGCAGGGCTATTCCCGGAGAGAGCCTGCGCTTCCCAGAGCCCAGCACCAAGCATTCGTGCAATCCCTCGGCCACCCTCCTCCTTGTGCGGCACTGCAGGTGGGAAGGAAGGCGCGGAGAGCCGAGCTCGGCCCGGGAGGGGCTCCGGGAGTGGCCAGGATCCACCGGGAAGTGCCCGGGCTGACGGACCGGGCGGCATGATGCGGCACGGCACGGCCTGGCCGGCACGACCCAGTCCCGGCACGGCACGGCTCGGCCCGGCACGGCCCCGGTGCGGCGGCCTGCGCAGCCCGGGCTTCCAGCGCCGCCAAGCGGCCCCGGGGGGCGCAGCCGCGACGGCGCCGCTGTCCCGGCACGGGCGGCCCCGGTGCCAGGGCGGCCCCGGTGCAGCGGCAGTCCCGGGCTCCAGCTGGCCCCGGTGCAGCGGCGCGGGGGCCCCGGTGTCCAGGCAGCCCTGTTGCCGCGATGCAGGCAGCCCCGGTGCAGTGGCAGCCCCAGTGCCACGGGCACCGTCGGGAAGTGCCGCACCGAGGCCCCACAGGACCCAGCCCGGGGCGGCTGCCCACATGGGCGCTACAGACCCGCTAACGCCCGCTGAGAATCATCCCACACGGAGGAGCCCGAAGAGGGGCCTTCAGCCTGCCCTGCAACACCAGCAAGCCCAGAGCGAAGAACTCGCTCAGGCTGTAGGTCCAGGGCCTTGCTAATCAGGGACACAGACAGGAAAAGAGCCCGACAGCTCTTTAGAGGAGCTGGATCCCGAGGGAAACGGATGAGGAAGAGGAAAGAAAAAAACCACGCCAGCAACCATGAAGGCCCCGTGGTTACGGCAGGTCTGTGGTGCCACTAACACAAAGTTCACTGCGCCGGCGGGCTGGCCTTGCACAGCCCCACCTGCCTATTGCACTGACTGCAGTAGCTACTGCACAGGGGTGGCATAGATTCACGGAGGTTACTTCTGATGGTGAAAAAGCCAGGAGTGCAATACAGGTCCAAAAGCACATTTATAATCCTGATCAGGTCAGGAGAGGAACAGCCAGACGTTCAAGTTCAGCACTCACAAAATTACCTTCCCAAAGTTGTCAGTGTGTTTCCTATAGTCTAGGTCCTCATCCTGCAGAGAGAGTAAAGAATGAAAATGTTTAAGCACTCACATAACTCAATCAGCCAAAAATATGCTTGTGTCTAAGTCCCTGCTCAGATTGGACAGCATTGATACTTGGTACTAAATGCTGATAAACTAGTTAATATCTAAACAGCAATCATGTCCCAGCACTAGTTAGATAGAACCTGTCCTCATTTGATCCTAGTCTGGTACCACACAGTGACAGGGGTTCTTGCGCAACCTGCAGAGCTGGGTGCTGCGCACCTACCTCCTCTGCAGCTGCACAGGGCAATGTCCCTGCTCCTCCAAGGACACACCGCTGGAGACGGGCTCAGATCTCGCCGCGTCTTGTGGTACTTTGTCACCTCTTGATATGAACTTGCCTACTGAAACTAACCCACTCTAACAGCTCAGCACATGAGAAGGATCTCCTTCACCCCCTACATTCCCTTTTCTCCTTCATCTTGTCCCCACTATCACCTAGGTGTTTCAGTCCCACTCCTTCGCATTCACACAAGCAGTACACTGGATTATATGCCAAGTTGATTGAACTCATTAATACTGCGGAAAATAACATTACTTTTTATTTGGTGAGGTTAGTTTTCTACTGGGCAGTTAGCTGAGCAGACTCAAGAGGGATCTGATGAGATTCAGAGACAGCAGAAAGCAAAAAATGCAGCTCATTGGTAAGACTGGTACTGACAGCAGAGAAGACTAGATCAATGTGGCTGCACCAAGTACTTTCAATCCCATATTTCCCATAACATTCCCAAAGCTCACATCAACTATTAGAGATCAAAGCTTTTATTTCTCCATTCCCTCCAAGGCAGCATGGGATCTACACAAGTTTAAGCAAATACAAGCAAAAGACTCTACTACTACCGCCCATAGTCTGCTTGCCAGTTCTCCATGCACAGACCACCCAGACCTAAGAGCTCCGCTGCCACTGGGAGAGCAAGATGCAAGAACTGGATTGTGTCCTAGGCTCCAAACTTCCACCCCCCCAGTCCTCTGACTCACTATGTTGCTGTGATGCGCCTTAGTCATGAGCAGCATGCGGCCAACCAGGTCAGTAGTGGACACACCCTGGGTGCGTTTGCATTCCCTGCAGGGAAACAAGTAGAGGATAAAGCAGCAGCTATAGGAGCATATGCCTCTTCTCACTGCTGCTGGAACACCTGAGAAATCTCATAAATCCAATAGCCTGAGAGAAAAGTCTTCCCACTATCAGCTGTCCATGTAGAATATAACATTTGTTTGCTGAGCCTCTGAATCTTTATTTGCCCACAAGAGCTAGCCATATGAGGAAAACCTGCCTTGTAGAGCCTTCCCTGAAGAGTTAACTCCCGAGGAGACTTCAAGACAAGAACTGCCCTATGCCAGGAAGGCCTTGTCAGGCAGCTGCTAGCCTGCAACACTTCCTAGAAGGCACAGCTGCAAGAGCAACTACAGCTCTGATACAGTACAGCAAATGAATGCATGACCTGAAGACAGCTGGTTTCATCTGAAGTCCCTTCAGGGTAGGAACTCCCAGAAACTTTGCACAAAATGGTATAAGAAATTAAAGTGGCAATGGGTTACCTGTATCGTCCAGCTGCCTTCACCTCTTCGTAGGTATCCTTGCCATCTATCGTTAGCGTGATGTCATCTACAGAGAGAGAAGAGCCTCAGCATCACGTCCACTCCTTCCTGCACACCTGCCGAGTATGCCTACCACACCAGGGAGACAAAACCTCCTGCAGTCTGAATCTCAGCCAACACTGCATCTCACCAAAGTGTTAAGGATTTGCAAAACTTCTCTAATTGTGCAGAAAAGCATATTGCTTTTAAATTGTGCAGAAAAGCAATATGCTTTTAAAAGCTTATTAACCCATCTAGCCCACTCTCTTTTAGGTAAGCCAGAAAATCTGATCCAGTTGCCTTTGCAGCGAGTCCAAGAGTAGACATGACTGAAGCATTGTTTGAATGACAAGACAAAGCTCCCATTAACCTCAGTGTTGAAAAGCAACTTTATTTTTTTCTAGTCCTGGTTTCAGCCATTAGTTCATGTTGCAACTTTCCCAATTAGTTAAACAATAACCTTTCCATTTCCACTGCTATAATGACATTGGTAGACCTTTTGAAGTTTCTAATAAGCTAAATAGAGTAGGCTTTGTTTCAGAGTAGGCTTTCTTTGTTAATTCTGGTTCTTACTTAGGTACGGCTTCCAACTCATCCCACAAAAACACCTCTCACCTGAATTTAGCAATAGTTCCAGATATTCACAAGGCAAAACCTAAGTAGGCTTTCATATGGCAAAACTCTCAGTGTACAGTGCACGCAACTGGCAGCTCACTAGTACTCACTCTTACATAATTGCTGTGGCATGCTCACAAAAGCAGTTAAGTTTTTCTAAAGTAGCACACCTCTACTTCATGGTACACAGTGAAGGGAGGTGGGATCAACACATTGCAGTTGCAAGTACTCTGTGTGCCAGGAAAGAGGCAGAAACACTGGTTTTACTATCTCTCATCTTCTCAGTTAAGCTGCCTATTTCAAAACTTCTCTTTGCACAAACACGGCCTGGCAAAGCTGCAGCATCTAGGAGTATGTTCCACGCAGAAGTACTGAATGTTTTGGCAGAGTGAATAAATGCAGGAAAACTGGAGCAAAGGCCACTTAAGCCGCTCTCGTCACAATCTCTCAGAGACTAGGAAGGGGTCAGCTACCCGAAACGCACTTTCAATGCAGATGATTATCCTCATGCCTGGTCTCAAACAATCACTGGTAACCAGGCTCCAAGCATTAATTCCATACAAAAGCAGAAAGCATAATAGCAAGTTACAGGAATCATATTAAAGGACAAAGTTCCAATACATAAAAGACAAGAGACTTGATGACCATCGTAACAGGTGAAAAATAACTTCTATTCTATGGAAAAGTAGTTACATATAAATATATAATATTTAATGAAATACTTGAATTATTGCTAGCTGAGATCAACTGAGGATAAGTGAGAAAAAAAAAAGACTCAGACTCCTAATGATATTAACAAAATATTTTTAAAGTAGACAGAGGGTGCTGATGTGAACAAACTCAAGAAGCAGCCCAAGAAAGGGGGCACGGTATGAAAACAGGAATGTTCCCTCCAAACAGTTTCTCTTCAGTGACTGTAAAAGAAAAATGTTCACATAAGAACTAGGTCTCAGACCACAGAGTCAGCTAAGCGCTTATCCAGCTTATCAGCTGGATAAAGAGAAAGAAGCCCTTCATATCTGATCTCTTCTCAGGATAAGTAGATATAAACACGGCTGTATTTTTGCACTCTTACCTTAATAACACTGTTTTTCACTGTTAAATGACTATTTACAAATCCTTGCTTGGCCAATGGCAATCTCAGGATAATTGTCAGACGTGTCTTATCTTTGTAAGCAAAAGGGATGCTTGAAACCAGGAGAGCTGAGCGAACTGCTCTTACAGTGCCTACCACGCATGTTTCTCCACAATACCAAACAGCAGTAGCTCTTCTGACCAGCGCAGGTGTTGGCATTGCTGTAGTCTACCCAAATGAGGTATTTGCTGATCATCAGTGCTAGCCAACTTGTTTCTCGGTGTGCAGCAAGAAAAGCAAGCACATGCAAGCCCCGAGGGGCTGTGTAATACCAGTACTGCCCTGGAACACTACTCACCGCCATGCACACAGAAGTCACAGTTGTATTTATCCAAGGTTTCCAGTGTGGTGACATAGGGAGCTCCTGGAGCAATCTCATCCACCCACTTGATGGCTTGCACCATTTTGTACCTCTCCTCCTGCGTAAAGACGGGGGGACCCTTGTGCTTGGCAATTTCCTCTAGGCGAGAAACAGAAAATCTGTTAGAAATCCACACTACAGCTATGAGCATTGCCACCCACAGCAGCCTTATGCAGTTCACAGGCAGCTGTGCTTCTCTGTGGGCCCAAGCACATCTTGAAACTACTTTGGAGCAGAGACAGAAGCCCAAGCTAGATCAGAGCAGGTTTTAATTCAGTCACATTTCATAAATGTGCAACAAAGACCCTGCAATTAACTTTAAGGACAAAGACAACTGTGACTCCTTATAAACAGATGCGTCTTAGTGACAAGATCACCTGGGCTTTCTGGTGACCCTTAAAAAGTAAATTCCCTTTTTATCAATATCTTCATGCTACACTTGATTTACATTAGCAAGTAGGCACCACTAATAAAAATCCATTTGAAATCCATCTTCATATGCAAGAACAAATTGCTGGTATGCGCATTTTCACACGGGATTAAAACAACTTCTCTCTGCACACGAGTGTGATTTGGGATATTGCTTCTGCAGTTTGCACCAGGTAACAGGATGGATTTTTAACTGATCGTGTTCTTTTCCTAACGCAGCACCTCACTGCTCCGGCTATCTAGCCGGCACCGAGGAAGCGCGAGGAGGGCCAGGGCAGTGCCCGGCGCTGGCAAGATGCACTTTTCCTTGGCAGCAGCTGCTCCTGGCAGGCAGGAGGAATCTGCCCCGTGCCGGGATGGCCGTGGCCCTGGGCTGGCAGCAGCAGGGGCAGAAAGGTGAGGGAGCCTCTTACCGTCCGTGTGCACGCCGACGATGAGGTAGTCGCCCATGGCGCGCGCCTGGCGCAGCTGGTTCGAGTGGCCGTAGTGCACCATGTCGTAGCTGTAAGGCAGAGGCCCGTGAGCGAGCGCGGCTGCTGCAGCCACGGCAGCAGGGCTGCCCCCGCGCACCGCGGGACAGCCGCCCAGGCCAAGCACAGCCCGTGAGGACCAACGGGCCCCGGTGTCACTGCGGCTCTGGAGGCACCGGTGCCCGGGCGCAGGGCTGAGCTGTTGCCAGCACCGGCACTACCGGCTCCAGCACTGTCGGGTCTGTCACAGACACGGGGCTCCGCCGCTGCCAGCACCAGTGCCCATCGGCTCCGGGGCCATCAGCACCGGCCTGCAGCGCTCCCGGCAGCGCTCGCAGCCGCGGAGCGGCGCCTCCCGCTCCCCGCCGCCGCCGGGAAGGGCCCGCGCCCGCCCGCCGGCACCCGCTCACAGACCAGCCGGAGGCAGCAGCTCAGCGAACGCCGTTTATTGCCGCCCGCCCACGCCACTCACCATCCGTCGCACCAGACGCGCACGGGCCGG